TTGATAGTCGAACGTGACGTACTGTGTAAAAGGAAGTGCTGTAAACAGGCCTTTAGTAATGTACTGTGAGGTTTGTGGGGAGGAGAAGCCTTCTACACTCCTATGATTAGGCCTCAGTCTTTTCAAGCTTGTGTCCACGGACTCTGAACTTCACAAGTGTTTCTGGCTCCAGTTGACTGGGGTTGGGTATTTCCCTTCCCCCAGAGGGGTTAGGTGCTAATATAAACTCCAGAAGGTTCAGCTCTGGTTAAGTCGTTTCACCTGAGGGTAGACCTTAAGAAGAATGGAATTCTCTGGCTCTCAGAATACTTCCTCTTCTCCTCCCCCTGCCTTAAGCTCAAGAAGATTTTTCTCTGATATTCACAGGGAGAACTGAGTAGAGCTTCAGGAAGTAACACCTACAAAAGTGTGGGAGCTCCCAGTCACTGGGTCCCTTGAAACCAGACATTTTTTTTTTTATTCTCTTAGACTTTTCCACACTGAGCCTCCAGCAATTCAGAAACTACAGTTTAGGTTTTCCTACGGGGTTGGGTATTTCCCTTCCCCCAGAGGGGTTAGGTGCTAATATAAACTCCAGAAGGTTGGGGTCTGGTTAAGTCGTTTCACCTGAGGGTGGACCTTAAGAAGAATGGAATTCTCTGGCTCTCAGAACCCTTCCTCTTCTCCTCCCACTGCCTTAAGCTCAAGTAGATTTTTCTCTGATATTCACAGGGAGAACCTGGTAGAGATTCAGGAAGAAACACCTACAAAAGTGTGGGAGCCCCCACTCATTGGGTCCCCTGAAACCAGACTTTTTTTTTATTCTCTTAGACTTTTCCACACTGAGCCTCCAGCAATTCAGAAACTACAGTTTAGGTTTTCCTACCCCAGTAGCACTGGTTCCCCATGGAGGTTTCTGCTCATGGGTTTCTCCTCCAGTAAATTGCTACACTGTGTATTCAACTGTCTCCCCAGTTTGGGGGGCAGCAGTTTGACCTGTGACCTTACTTCTCTTATGAATCTAATAAATTATTGATTTTTCACTTTGTTCAACTTTTTACTTTTTGTTAGGTCAGAGTGTCAACTTGCAAGCCTCTACATGCTGAACTGCAAAGTGGAAGTCTCAATTTTCTTTTTAGATATCGATTCAATATGAATTCAACTTAAAGTCCTAATACTATACCTGTTTTGAAATACCCTTCCATAAATATGGAAGTCTTTCATGCTAATAAATAAGTAATTTCACATTGAAGGTGGGCATGCTGGAAAATCTTCCTGAAGGTTCACTAACACCAGAGCAGCAACATTTTTTCTGACCAACATTTATGTAGAAGCCAGTCATTAAAATTGCTTCCTCCTCTATTCCATTGTATGACAAGCCTCTTTTAAAGCTACCTTACCTTTTTTTTTTTTTTTTCCTTTTTGTATTTTTTCGTGACCGGTAACGGGATCGCAACCCTTGGTGTCATGCCTGCATTGTGCTCAACCAGTGAGCAGACTGGTCTCTATATGGGATCCGAACCCTCGGCGGGAGCGCCGCTGCACTCCCAAGCACCACACTCTACCGAGTGCGCCACCAGGCCGGCCCAAGCTACTTTAAATTTTTAAACAGACTTTCCATTTCTTACAGTAGCACAGTGAGCACTTCTTTTCTGTTCCCACCTTCTTCTGCTGGTAACAGGCCCCTCTTCCCCTCTTTTTACACACACAAGAGTGTGTACATGACCCAGAATAAGCCAATCCAAATTCTCTGACAAGATTTCTCTGAGACAGGGCAGGGGAAAGTTCTCTTTCCCCTCTAGTCAAAGCCAGTGCTTACAGCTCCAGCCCCATAGAGAGAGTCGATCAGAGAGAACAAAGCCAATATGTACTGAGCAAGAAAGAGTTTCAGCAGCATTCAAGTTCCTGGATTCAGCCATGCGCGAGACCTCCTCCACTCCAGCCCATCCCTTTATCCCAATTTCTATCTTTCTTTCTTTTTTTTAAATATTAAAGATATTTGAGTTGGGTTTGTGTTATTTGTGGCCAGGAAAGGCTTTTCTCCTTTCCTTACCTCCTGTCTAGAATGTGATCTCTGTTAAAATAGATAAAAAGACAAAGACTTTTGAGTACAGTACCACACCAGAATTATGCTATGAGAAGTGGTCAATATTAGCAAGAGAAAACCTTCTTTTATAGACATTTCATCTGAGTAGCCCAAAGGACCTCAAGGCCTTTTACGTAACTGAAAACTGGATGGAATTGAGTGAATTTCTGAGTGTCTGGAGGCACAGTAGGAAGAGGAGGAGGACGGGGAAGGGAGACCAAAGAGAAGAGATCAACGAACACACTCAGTAAGAACTCACAGATGACTAGGGAAGCAAAGCGAATACCTACTTTCAATATACTGTGGATTAGCTGAGAGTAAGACATTGTTTCTGAACTGTACAGTCGTCTTTCCCTAACGCAAGGGACAGAAATACGGGCATATACTTGCAACCAACCTAAAATATCCTGTATAACAGAAATGTGGTGAAAAAGAAGGAAAAAAAGGCCAACAGGGAATTGTCGACTATTAGTGGGCCTTGGTTTTATCTCGTGATTTCTTACTCGTGCACTCTCACCACCTGGCCAAACTCAGTGGGATTTGTATCTTCCCAGAACCATCTTGATAACAGCTGTTGGTGAAAGTGCAGAGCAAGATCCCTCCACACATTAAGTACAATGTTAGGAGAGTGCAGGGAACTGCTCCTGCTGGCAGGTGACTTGCATACTACCTGCACATCATTGGGCAAAATGTTCTCAACTCCAATAGCTGTAATTCTGTTTTCTTTTGAGTATCTAATATACAAGTAAGAAACACAGATCCATCCTGTAGAGCAAAAGAGACATGATTAACAAAAGAGAAAAGAAAAATGTGTGAAATGCCTAATCCTCTGGAATGACAACCATTATGCCCTTTTTCCTTCCTGGAAGAAGATGTCTTCCCTGCCCCTAAACGGGCTATAGAACAAGAGAAAGAATAAGCAGCCTAAGGGCACTGCAGTAATTTCCATACAACTGTACATATTTTAAAATCATTTGCTTGAATACCTCCACTTCAGTGATGTCATCCAATGATCCCNTCTTGCAAAAGGCCGTAAATGTAATGTTAATCCAAGGGAACATTTTTTAATAATACCCATTCCTACTTTAATCAGGGCTAACAAATATACAGCGCTTTCCTAGTTACTTTATTTTTAAATCTGTATAATTTTTCAAGCTGCATTTCTCCCTTAAATATAAGCTCGACATTTTAGAATCTCAAACCACGGGAAATAGTCTCTTTGCAAGAAAAATGTCTTATCAAGTAAGACATTTTTATTATTAAACACCTAATAATCAGAAGTTTCTTTACCACCACCACCACTAATGTAAGTCTTCTACCTGGAAATAAGAGTTTGAG